AGTGGGAGCAGTCTTTGGATCCTTCCTTGGGCGTGAACACCTTCATTGGGAGATTCTACTTCTCCGTATTAGGTATAATTCTCTCCTACTCCTTTTGGTTCAGATCTGGTTCAGTTTAAGGTTCAAGAATGATCCTTGAAAATATGATTTTCTAAATAGGGAATATGATTCCCAGTTGAAGGGAGAGAAAATTTTTTTTTGAAATTCGCCCCTTATTCCGCAATCTTTGGGCGTCCATGGGATGGATCTCTCATCCCTTTCAATAAGATCCATCATGCATAAAAGAAATACATAACATACAACCCTATCTACATTAAGTAGTAAGTACCTAAGCACTCTATTAGAAGAAAGTCTAAGACTTGTTTCCTATGAGAAATATATGCCTTTCCCGAACCTAGAAACCTTACTTCATAAGATATATTTGCGTTCCTCAAAATACTTGATCTCAAATTCAAGGGCTAGGAACTTATTTAATTACTGAGTTTTGGAAGGACCATTCCCTATTTCAATTGCCATCCATGTAAACATTAAAGTTTTAGTAAATATCTCAACATGCTTAGCAAAAAGTGTATGATCAGCATGATTGATTATAACCAATCTTTACCATTTGGCTAAAATGGTAACCAATATGAAGATCAACTGGCCAATCGTCTCATGAAAAGTGTTCCCAAGCCAAAACTTGATAACAATTTGGGCAATTTGGGCATGATAAACATCTATGCTCAGCTTGAAGGGGAGCGTTGAGAGTGTAAGGGTACTCTTGCAATTTCTTCATTCTAATTCAAATACTAATTTTCTGGGCGTGAACAGTAACTCGGATCATTATTGAGACTACCTATCTTCTCCTCTTCTTCTCTTCTCTCTCTTATCTTTCTTTCATTTTCTCTTAATCTTTTGTAACTGTATTTTTATGAACCCATCTACTTCATAAGTTGTTTATGTCAATTAAGTAGATAGTAGTATATATTTGATTCTAAATTAGCATGCTATAAGCTATAGGATTGTTTCTTCTAGTTTTTCATGATTTTATCTTTTTATATGATATAATCATTTTCTCATCTTTTGGTAAAAGTTTGTAAATTTGTTCCATAAACAATGTACAAGTTTCACATGTTGGCATATAGTCATAGAGTGCTATTATTTTCCACTGAAATGGTTCCTGTTTTCTGAACCCCTTCTAATCTACTATATGAAATAATTCAGATTTATTTTAAATCTTGGCCTTCATACTTTGCATTTCACTTTAATGAACAATGATCCATTTTTTCTTATTTTATTCTTCATGACAGGGTTTTATCCGTAATGAACTTTTTGATCCTAAACTCTGGGCTATTCCCAATGACCATTCTACAAGTCATGAGTTTGGTGAAGAGTTACTTTCAGATACGAGAAAGATCTATTTTAGAGGAAAAAGACGGATGAAGAATAAGGTAGTTGCTGATGCTGTTGAGGCTCTAATTGGTGCATACCTTGAGACAGGTGGTGAAGTGGCAGCTTTAATTTTTATGGATTGGCTTGGTATTGAGGTTACTTTTGTCCACATTCCACATGAGAAGCCATTTCTAGGAGATCCAAAGATGCACATCAATATTAGGCATATTGAATCATTGCTGAAGTATTCATTTCGTGATCCGTCCTTGCTAGTTGAAGCATTAACTCATGGATCATACATGATTCCGGAGATTCCAAGATGCTACCAGGTTTTCCTATCAATTTCAACATAATCCTTCCTGTTGGTTTCATTGAAATAGAAATAATTAGGTTCTTGCATAATGCACAAGATACAGGTTACTTAAATTTTGGTGTTATATAATGATATAATTAAATGGTTGTTTTGCAGAATTTTCTGTGTCTTTATTCACTTTTTTGGTACATCAGTTAATGAAGTACAAATAATCTTTCTGTTGGTTGTTCTGCACTCATTTTCTTTGTGAAGACATAACCTAGTCAGTCCGACATAATTGTCGGGGAAACACATAGGCGACAAGGTTCCCATGGAGGATCGTCTCAAAAAGTGCCTAGCTATTTCGTACTTGGCATTATGAAATATTTTTATATTCTTTATTTCTAAGATTATAATACCAAAATAGACATTATTTGACTAAACTATTCATTTTGTGGGTATATACAAATTCTTTTTATTATTTTCTTATTTGTTTGAGTTCAATCAACACACATGTTGTTATATATTGTCTTGAACCCTCAAAGAGTTCAAAACCTAAACTGATAAACGAGGAAGAACTTGACATTTAGAACTAGAACAAAAACTAGGTTAAGTCCCTAGGTACCCAGGATTCATTGTTTTTTTATAAACCCATTGTCTAGGTGCCCACTTATTGCCTAGCCTCACCTAGATGCCTTGAAAACTATGAAGAAATGTAGCATAAGATAGCTTTTTCATGTTCTTTGTACATGCATATGTAATGAAAAGTAGATGTCTTAGAAGGGTGGTGAAATTTTATGCAAAGAATTAAGGTTTGAGATGAGGCTGGATGGTGCTGTAGATGGTGGTAAGGTGGATTTTGATGATGGAGGAGGGTCGCCTTCTTCAATAAGGGTTGTGGTTGGTGCGGGATTTTACAACAGCAAAACACATCTAGTGCTAATGTTCTCTATAATTTCAAGAGTAGCTCGAACAGGAAAGAGTTTGTGGATTGCTGATTTAAGGAGGTTGGCCTGTGCAGCAGTTGTTCTGAAGTGGAAGGTGGAAGACAGAATGACCTGTGCAGCAGTTGTTCTGAAGGCTCAKTTTGGGAAGAGTACAAACACAAATATGTACAGTATAAATACATACAAAATACAAGGGGGTGAGCATTTGGATGATTTCATCTTTGATGAAACACATAAAGTTAGGAGGTCAATTTATCTAGAGGAAGTTGTAAAAAAGGACGTGGAGGTTAGCAAGAAGTTAGGATTGTTTTTCTTGGGGGGAGAAGACTTTGCAAGGATAGTGTTTAGAGAGATTGAGGAGAAAAGGATCAATGCCGGTTCAAATGGTTTGAAGATGCAAAAAATCCTCGAATTTCTCAGTCCTATAAAGTTTTTGCTAGGTTGAAGAAACACAAATCTCTAATTCCAAAATCAAGGCTCTTATACCATGTTTTCTTAGTAGAAAGTGTTAGAATGTCAGAGGACAGAGAGAGGAGAGAAAAAAGGATTTAGAATAAAAAAGAATAGGCTGGCGGCACCAGCTTTATTATTTATACTAGGGTGACCTAAAACATTAAAAAAAATAAAGAGAATTTACAAAAGTGCCCCTGTGGCACTAAAGAATAAATTGATGACAATTTTAATTGTCATTCTTAGGATCCCTACTTGCTAGCCTAAGAACAATGAATATGCAAACAACAAATAGAGCCTAGTATTGCTAGAAATTCATTTTGTAAGCCAACTGGCTCCAAGGTAGTGATGGTGGTCTGACTCTGAAGCTCTGGAGGAGAATAGCAGTGTGAGAATGGTCGGTGACTCATGAGAGAGAGAGAGAGAGAGAGAGAGACTCCTCCCTAATGGGTTTTGTTAATAGGTCCCCATATGGGTATGGGGCCCTATTTATAGTATTTGGACCTCCATATTCTGGAATCTTCATATATTTTGTCTTCACCAATTTTACTCCTTAGATTATTATTATTCCAGAATGTTCTATTATTTATACAAATAGTCTTGTTTAAATAATAAATTACTGTTCTGAACTGGTCTGGTCGGACTTGGGTTTGCGTCAGGTCAGCCAGGTTGATGCACTTATACAAATCCACTATCTTACACATTGTAAATCCAGTTATTTATGAGTTCACTCAGTTTCCAACCAACTAGAAATTGGTCAATTTTATTTTTAACCTAGAAAAGTTAATTACCAGATAAGCCTTGACAGGATTAACATGTAGAAGTTGTTCTGCTGCCCGTTTTCTCTTGCTAGACTATAATTCCAGAAAATATGCTTTAACCACACCCTCGTTGCTAGCTTATGATACTTTGTCTCTTGTACAGCGGTTGGAATTCCTTGGGGATTCAGTGTTAGATTATCTCATCACAACATACCTGTATAATAAGTACCCAGGAGCTTCCCCGGGTCTATTAACTGACCTAAGATCTGCTTCTGTAAACAATGATTCCTATGCAAATGCTGCACTAAAGGCAGGGCTGCATAAACACATTCTTCATGCATCACCAAAGCTCCATCAACAGATATCATCCATTCTCAACTATCATGAACAAATAAATTTGGGCCCGACTATTGGCTGGGACTCTGAGATGACTTTCCCAAAGGCAAGTTAACTATGTACCAGTAGATTATTTGTTGTGTGCAGCATACTCTTTGGCTGGTCATTATTATTTATGAAATATTTTTTGTGAGGAATAAGGATATTTTTTGTTTGATTATCTTCTCAATAGCTAGAACCATTTTTGAGTAGTTTCAGCAGGTACCCATCTATCTATTAATTGATTTCGAATCCATGGTTCATGTTGTGTTCTGTATTATTGTTATTCACTGTAATATACCAATTTCGGTTCAGGCATTTTCCTTCTGGATACCATCCATGATGGAGTATGGCCTGATGGCCAATAAATTTAGTTGTCTTCCTTGACACCAAAGTTCTTAGTATTAATTAACAATCTAGTATTTATGGCAATTCTTGTATGTTTCTTGTACCAATTCTCCATTCATTAAATCTGCTTTACTTTCTTTTTTTTCTTGTACAAGTTAAATGAAATCTGCTTAACTTACTTTTTTTCTTGTACAAGTTAAATGAAACCCTGCTCATCACCGGCCAAAGATTTTGACGCTCTTAAATTTGCATTGTTTCATACGTCCATTATCATTTATATTTGGAACTCAGTTTTTATTATTTTGTTGTTTAATTACTTTGTCGACAGTTTACACAAAATAAGGATATCCAGCTATTCATGTTTTGCATCGAGTACAAAATTCCTTATTCAGTGGGTAAATTCTTGAAAATCATTTGAAAACATAGTAAACCAACTTATAACAGAAATCTGATTATTTTCCTGTCAGCTTTTGAGAAAGTGAGAGAGCAATAGAGAGACAGAGGTTCATATCTGTTATGGTTGATCAATCTGATCGAACCAACCCAGAAAAGATATATTTATATTAATCTTATGTAAATGGACAAGATTGTCCTTACAAAGAGAATAAAGGAACTGTACACTAAAGTACACGCCTATTATAGTACAAGAAAGAAAAATAAAGTACAGTAGAATTACAAAACTACCCTTCAGTAGTTCTTCTACACTCCCCCTCGAACTGATGCTGGGGTAGAAGCATCAGTTTGTCAACAAGGAAATTATGTCGGGCTTTGGTCATGGCTTTGGTGAAGAGATCCGCAAGTTGTAACCCGATGAAACATGTGGGAGAGAGATGTGACCCACATGGAGAAGGTCATGAATGAAGCGACAATCCACCTCAATATGTTTAGTCCGCTCATGAAATACAGGATTTGTTGCAATCTTGATTGCACTCATTTTGTCAGCAAACAGAGGAATAGCAGATGGGTGATCAATATTCATGTCATGAAGGAGTGCCTTAAGCCAGATTATTTCACTGCATACTAAAGACATGGCCCTGTACTCGGCTTCAGTAGATGACTTGGAAACCGTTTGTTRTTTCTTGCATTTCCAAGAAATCAAAGAATCACCAAGGAATATACATCAGCCAGTAGTAGAGCGACGAGTGTTGGGACAACCTGCCCAGTCAGCATCTGCATAAGCTCGGAGCTGTGTGGATGAAGAGGATGAGAAAAATAAGCCATGTGATAGTGTACTCTATACATAACGAATAATTCGGAGAACTGCGGAATAGTGAGGCTGACATGGAGCTAAAACAAACTGACTCACAATCTGAACCGTATAGGAGATGTCAGGTCTAGTCATGGTTAGGTAGATAAGACTACCTACAAGTTGTCTATATAGGGTAGCATCAGGAAGAAAATCACCCTCATCTTTACTCAACTTACAATTAAGCTCCAGAGGTGTATCAACATGTTTAGAGTCAATCAAGCAGCAAAAGAGACCAAATCAAAAGCATATTTCTGTTGGTTGACAAAGTAACCCTGATGACATCTTTGAATTTCGAGTCCAAGAAAGTATGTTGCTGGCCCAAGATCTTTCATTTTGAAGGAGTTACTAAGCAGAAGTTTGCGGTTGGTAATACCATCCACATCATCTCCAGTAATAAGGATGTCATCAACATAGACCAAAAGAAGAGAATCCCTGAGCCTGCTTGAGAGTGAAGGGAGAGTCTGAAACACTCTGCTGAAAACCTTCCAACACTACTGTACGGAAGCGATCAAACCAAGCTCGTGGAGCTTGTTTAAGGCCATATAGAGATTTCTTCAGTTTACACACCAACTGAGGATTGTCACAGTAGCTTGGAGGTGGTTTCATATAAACAATCTTCTGTAGCTCTCCATGGAGGAAGGCATTCTTGACGTCCATTTGATGAACTGTCCACTGTTTGAGGGTAGTAATGGCTAGTAGCAAACGAACTGTTGTCATTTTGGCCACAAGTGCAAAAGTTTCATCATAGTCAATTCCATACTCTTGCTTGTAGCCTTGAGCAACCAAACGGGCCTTATATCTGTCCAGAGTACCATCAGATTTGAGTTTTACAATGTAAACCCACCAACTACCAATTATGGAGGCATCTGGGGGAGGAGAGACAAGATCCCATGTATCATTTTCCAATAAAGCCTGAACCTCTGAATCCATAGCTTCTTTCCAATGCTCAACTGCTACGGACTGGCTGTAAGACTTAGGAATATCTGTGGATGACAAAATAGCTGAGAAGGAGCTATGACTCGAAAAGAAGCCATAGTGATCAGGTGGATGAGAAATACAAGATGACCGACGCAAAGAAATAGATGAAGGTAAATCCTCAGGAGGAGAATCTACACTTACAGTAATGGTGGATGGAGAGGAATGACCAAACACTGTTGTTTGAGATGGAGGAGGCATAGGAAATGGGGGAACTGGATGCTTCCTAAAGTATGTCTAAAGAGGTTGAGGAGAAGGAGAATCACCTGTAGATCCAAAGTCATGCAGAACAGAGATGGATGATCCAGGTAATTTACAAATATGTTCAAAGAATGAGAAATTCTCAAGAAAGATGACATTGCGAGAAATGCGCAACCGACGGACTTTGGGATCATAATAGAGAAACCCCTTGTGTTCCGTACTATATCCCATGAAAGCACACATAGCTGATTGAGTTGTTAGTTTTGTGCGTTCATGGGGAGGGAGATGGACAAAGCAAACACATCCGAAGACACAAAGAATGGATAGGTTTCGTGGATGATGAAATAAGGACTGATTGGGAGAAGAATTTTCAAGAATAGGTGTAGGAAGGCTATTGATGAGATGAATAGCAGTGCGGGTCGCCTCTACCTAGAAGGTAAGGGGAGCATAAGAGTCTTGTATCAAGGACCTCGCCATACTAGCAATATGACAGTTCTTGCGCTCCGATACTCCATTATGTTGAGGAGTACCAGGACAAGATCTCTGGGACTGAATGCCATGTTGTTTAAGATAGGTTTGAAACTCACCATCATAATACTCTCTCCCTGAATCTGGCCTCAAAATATTTATGGTGCTTTTAAACTGGGTCATTACCATAGCATGAAAGTTCTTAAACATAGAGAAGACTTCTGATTTCTTTCGAAGAAAGTAAACCCATGTGTAACGAGTACAGTCATCAATGAATAATACAAAGTACTTATAACCAAAGCGTGAAATAACTATAGATGACCGCACATCACTATGAATGAGATAAAAAGGTGTAGATGCATGTTCAATAGAAGATGGAAAAGGTAAAACATGACTTTTACTATAGCAGCAAGTTAAGCAAGATTTATCAATATTTTTGACTGAAGAAGTATTCAAAGGCAAACAACCAGAGGAAAATAAATAATCCAAATTCTTAGCATGAGTGTGACCCAAACGTCTACCATAAATGGCACACATTATTACATGAAGAAATAGAGGAACTAGGAGAAACAGATAGAAAACAAGAATCCGGTAAAGATCTCTTAGTCTCGAATTCCAGAGCAAACAGCCTCCCAAGCCTACGCCCCTTCCCCTTCAGCTCTCCAGTGTGTTGGTCCTGAATAAAACAACCATCACGAGTAAATAAGATATTATTACCATCATCAACAAGTTGTCCAGTGGATATTAAACTAGTAGTCAATTTAGGCACAAAGAAAGTTTTGAGAAGATGTAAGGGTTTGGTCTTAGTGGTGGATACGAACAAACCATTAGCAGTAATAATATGGTTGTCGAAGGATCTAGGTTTAGGAGACTAACCAAAGGAGGCCCCTGAATCAATAATCCACATGTGACAAGGAGATGAACACAAAAAAGCAGACTTACCAGCCAGCCCAAAAACAGAAAAAGCAAAAGAAATAGCTAAAGACATGAGCTCATGGATCTTTTCTTCAGTCAGATTTCCCTAGGCATCTAATTTGTGGGCTGATGATGAGGTGGCAACATCAGTAGAAACAGATTCAGTTGGGGCCTGATAAGCCTTATGCTGTCCTTTCTTGGGAGGCCTAGTCAGACATTCCATAATAATATGTCCTTGCTGTTTGCAGTAGGTATAGAAGTTTTTCTTCTTGCAGTGGGATGCCACGTGACCAAATTCTTTGCATTCATAACACTGCAACTTCAAGAAGTCTTTCTTACCCTTCTGTTTGGTGGCTAAAAACACAGTATCAATCCTATATTCCTTCTTCTGATCAAGTGCAGATAAGGTAAGAAGACATGTTTCCTCCCGTAACAACTCTCCAAGGATTGCATCTAGTTCAGGCACTAGTTCTCTACTGAGAATATTGGAGCATAGAATTTCATAGTCAGGCCTGAGATGCATCAAGAAGTGCATGGTCTTTCTCTTAGTGAGATGCTTCTTCATAGTCTTCACACAACAATCTGTAGAAAGATCCCCAAAGTGAGTCAGTTCATATTCAGTCCAAAGATTTACAAACCCTGCATAGTATTCCTGAATCCGCTTCTCCCCTTGAACATAGGAGAAGATGTCGATTTTGATCTAATATTGCCTAGACATATTCGATTGCTGATATACCTTTTCTAGGTATTCGAACATGTCATGGGCAGATTTGAGACCTCTCATCGGAATACTGACATCCATTGAGATAGACCCAAGTATCCATGAGGTAACCTGAGCATTTTCGGTTCTCCACTATTTCAGCCCTTTGACATCACTTGCATCAAGCATGGGAGTGGAACCGTCAATGTAA